CAATATGCCCTAAATCTCATTTTCAACAATAAACAAACAACAAAGCTCTTCTGAAGAAAGCTTCATTGCCTGTTAGGTTCATTGTGTCAAATAAAGCACCAAGGTTCATTGCATCTTGGTTGGGAAGTCGCTATCAGAATCAAAAATCAAAACATCAAAGGTCACCTCCAATGCAGCATTTCATATGCAGTTCATATATCATTTTACTTTGCTGATGAACTAAAACAAAGTACTGAATGCTTGAAACTAGAGAATCGATTGTTGTTTATAATCGGATCGAATTAACCAGTGATGACCCTTAAAATATCAACAAGCGGTGCCATATCATATATGGATTGAGTACAGACTACAAAGACAATGTAGACCAACCCACTCAAGGAGTTTCTTCTATTTATTTTTTTCACATTAGCAAGGCTAAAAAGGACATGAAGCACCATATATATAAGGGTTAAACATGAAGCACCATACATGATAGACTACATTGGTCAGGACATGTTTCTTCTATTTTTTTACAAAAATTAGTGGAGCCTACAACTTTCAGAAAAATTAGGTTAATCATTCACCCAAACTAAAATAACTGCGTAGTTATTGTTACTTTCTATTCAACAATATTTTCTAGAGTACTGTGATTATTTTGGTACTTGAAGTAATAAAGTCGTAATACAGGATCAGTATCACAATATTACACTTTTAGAGATGGAAAGGGGGAGTGGCCTTAAAAATTAAAATTACCATATATTTTAAATTTTTTTATATATTTTTATTGAAAATCTATTTTTGACCTTAAAATTTTATAAGTTTGTTATCTCTTAAAATTTTGAGTAAACTATACGGTTAATACCTAAACTTTCACGTTTGATCCGATTTAGACCTGAACTTTCAATTATTTTAAAATCGTACCTAAAGTTTAATTTTACTACCCGTCGTTAAAAACTTAACGACAAAACTAGCATGGTATTGGTATTTTTTAATTATTTTTATATTATAATTTAATTAATTTTAATCAACTAATAAGGTGGTGGCACGTGTAACCACCTTAATAGAAGCAAACAAACAAATTAACCTACCAAGGGGGTTGGTAGTAGGGGTGTATTCGGTTCGGTTCGGTTCAGTTTTTTACCAAAAATTGAACCGAACCGAAATAAACGGATTTTCAATATTTAAACCGAAACCGAATAGTTAAAAAACCGAAAAAACCGAAACCAGTTTTTTCGGTTCGGTTCAGTTTTTTAACGGTTCGGGTTTTTTGGTTCGGTTCGGTTTATCGGTTTTTCAATAAAAAAAATCACTTGAAACTATAATTTTTTTTTACAAAAATTGCCTATTCGGTTCAATATGGAACAAATGGGTTCCATATGAAAAACCCGAACCGAACCGAATCAAAAAAATGAAGCCTTTAACCGAATCGAAAACCGAACCGTTTAAAACTAAACCGAACCGAACCGTTTTACTCGGTTCGTGTCGGTTTTTCGATTTTCTCGGTTTCGTTGCTCATCCCTAGTTGGCAGGATTTGAACCTGAGTGAGACAATCAAGCACTAAACCATCAAAGCTAGGCAGCTATTATATTTAACTTTACCAAATCATATATTTAAGTTATATTAAACCGCCACTATAAATAAACCAAAATCCTATGATTCGAACTTTAGATATCTCACAAAATAATTCAATAATTTAATCACTAAATAATATTTAGAATTAAATACAAATCAAAGTTATTATTTAACTTATACACACTTCAATTTAAATAAATAATTATTTATATAATTTATAAAAGTAATATTAGTTATTTTAAAAATTAAATTTATGATATTTATTTATAGTGAAATATAAAATTTAAATTATATTAAAAATAAATAAAAATTATAAAAAATTATATTATAAGTAGTTTAAAATTATATGTATTTAATTATTTAAAATTCAAACTAAAAATTTTAGAAAATAAAATTTAAAATTATTTATATTTATTTAATCATTAAATTTTAAATACAAATTTATTATTATTTATGAAAATAAAAAATATATATTTAAAATTATTTAAATAATTTCAATGATAAAATAATAATTTTAATTTGAAATCATTAATTAATTAATTATAAATAATAATTGTAAATACTTGTTCAATTATTTTTTTTATTTCTAATAAAATGAGAAATTATTGAATGTTAAATTAATATTTATATAAGTTAAATAATAACTTTGATTTGTATTAAATTTTAAATATTATTTAGTGGTTAAATAATTTAATATTTTTACGAGATATCTCAAATTTGAATCATAGAATTTTGTTTTATTTATAATGACAGTTTAATATAAATTAAATATATGGTTTGGTAAAATAAACTAAAATCTGCCTAGGGACCCAGGTGCAAATCCTTCCACACCCTCGTCACCCTTATTAGTTAATTAAAATTAATTAATATAATTTTAAAATAATTAAAAGTTTAAGTATTAAATTAGATCAAACGTAAAAGTTTAGATATTAATCGTGTGATTTACCTTAAAAATTTAAAAGTTCGCCCGCATCAAATTATGCTTTTGTACTGTAGACTTTCATCTAAGTTAAGGCCCAGATGACGGAGACAAATTTCATAAAACGGCAATGGTCATGAATCAGTTGTTTATTCCCTCTGATTTAAAGGAAACAAGCAGGGAAACCATACATCAGTCAAAGGAGAATCCGCTGAGAAATTAAAACCCTAAAAAAATTGATAAATAAGACGAATATCTCAAAATTACCCAGAATCTAAATCAAAGAAATACTCACAGCTTCTTTGATGAAGACAAATGCAACCCCCTTCCACTTAGATTCAGAGTCTGGAAATATCTGCCCTATATCATAAGGCCGAAAGCCCCCACGATTGCATCTACAATACAATAAAGAACCACATCGCCTGCAACAATTACCCCCCCCCCCCAATGTATTTAGTAGCATTAGAATCGAACTGTGTAAAATAGCAAATAGATAAATTCGGAGAAAATTGAGTGAAATAGAAAAGGAGAAAATTGAGTGAAATAGAAAAGGATAAATGAGAAAATACCAGCAGAATGAACCTCACAGCCCCTATCATGAGGAATATTAATCCCACCAAACAATGAAAGTAGAATCCATGACCCATTCTAAAGTGTAAAGACTTGGAAGGAATGGTGGGTGGTGGTGGGTCCATCTACTTTATCACGTATAAGAGCCTTCAAGTTCAAAATATCGTTTTAACACAAATGTAACTACTACAAGCCATCAAAATTAGATTATAGTGTGGAAGTGCAAACACAATCATGACTACTCTTAATCACCAAGAGAGATAACAACACAAAGAGACTTAAAAACAAAACACACAAGAGATAGAATAAATGTTTTAGAACTTTATTACTATCTCAAGAGAATGAATGGGATGAGATGCTACAAATGAGAGGGGAGACTCTCTATTTATAGTTAAACTCCCTCTAAATCAATGGTCTATATCTATTTACGTCGACGGTTAAGATGATTTCTATTAATTACAAATCTTTGTATCTAAGGAAACTCCATCAATCAAATTCTCACTTTTTTTGTTTGCACGATCAGTGTGACACTTGCACTAATATCCCGAGCACAACTCCACGGCCTGTGACAGCTGCAACGGCAGTAGCAGCTGGTGAAATTGAATCTCGAAGTGTAGAAGAAGATGGAGATGATGATGCTACGAGGATATTGTTATAGACTGTTCTGGTGGTGGGTTTTTGTGGGATTGGCAAACAACAGTAAAAGTGAGTGGCCATCGCCGTTGAAATCATTATATAGGCAGAAAACGGGTTCTCTGTGGTTTTTTCTTGAATAGTTTTAGGCTTTTTCAGTTTCACTGCTGACTCCGTTTTGTGGTCATAACTAATAGAGCAAAACTACATTCAAGTCATTCAGTTATTAGTCAAATTACAAATAGATCACATTTTCCCAAAAAAGTTACAATTTAATCATTTAGTTAAAATATTAATATATTATTACAAACATGTCAATGAACTTATGGAGCGTCAAGTATTAGACAAGTTAAGTGGTCTGGTACACTAACAGTTTTAGTCTTTAAAATTTATATATTTTATAAATTTTAAATTCTAATTTAAAAAATCAATTAATTTAATTTTTTTATCAATTTAGTATTTATTTATTCTTCTTCTAAATTGTTTGTTCTTCATCATTCACCATTCATCATCATCAATGTTAGACGTAATGATGAGGATGAATGGTAGAGAACAAATAATTTGATAGAAGAATAAGGAGTAAATCGATAAATTTTTTGTGTATAAAGATTTAAATTAGAGTTAAATTAATAAAATAATAAATTTTAATAAATAAAATTATTATTATATTATGAAAATTATTATTAAACTTATTAAATTATTACAAACTTGTCATTAAACTTATCATAATTTATTATTACTTATAATATTATATAAATAATTTTATAACAATTCAATAAATTTAAAAATCATTTTATAATATTTGAAAATTGGATTAAAAAAAGATTTGACATAGTTGAATTACATCTAATATTTTTTGCATAATATTAAATTGGGTAAAACTCCCCCCCCCTTTCATTTTAGTGAGCCCAATAGATTAATACACAATGGATATGGAAGACCCGGATATAAATGAGTCATGAAAAGTTTTTCGGTGGAATCCATCAAGTAATTTAAGTTGTTAAACGGGGTTTTGGTTTCTATTAAGATGTCATATTCGTTGTTTCTGTAGGATATATACTCACAAATATTATCTTATAATCATCTCAATTCAAAACAAAAATTTCCCCACAGGGGAAGTGTGTAAGTCTTACATCAAGAAGCTGCTAAACATTTATGCTTCATTTGTATTGTTTAACTATGTTAATATCCAGTTTAATTTAGAGAGACGTTTCATAGAATTGGTCAACGTAAACCTCTTCCAGTTCTTTAAACCCTAAACCCAACAGAATTTATCTAAATATTTCTGTTTTACGGGTGGTAGTTTTGATTTAAGTTTCTTTTACAATTGCCATTATTTTCAGATGTAATTGGCTTGAACAATTTTCTTCGCTATATACTTACCTAAATAATCGTAGCCATGGAAATACAGAGCTTCTATCTCTGCTCTCTGACCACTCTGCATCATCAGTTCCAGTTCTTGCCTGTAATTATCCTGTAGATCACTATTTAACTCTCAAAAAAATGAAGGCAATAGGTTATCTCTTATCTATTGACTGATACAGGGTACTGCACCTGCAAGATTGGCGAGGAAACAAGGCTTCTAGCGATTTGGAGGTCACGTGGCTTTAGTTGAGCTAAAGACTGTTCAGGTATCAGATGTAGATCATTCCCTCGCAGCCCCAGCCACTTCACGTTGCATGCTGAATGGTGCATAGAAAATATTACTGTTTTTACGTTGTAAACAAGAAGAAAACGGGTGCAAATTGGCATGGCTGCAACAAAATAATACCGTATCTGTATGCCTCTAGACCCATCCCTATGCTTCCAAACTTATAAGTGGACAATATAGCTAATCCAGCTGGGTTCCTGTAATGGTTCAAATTTGTCCGGATGTATGATTTTATTCTGGAGTGTGAACTTTAAAACTTAAAAAGAAAATATGACCTTAAAAAATTCTGCGAGTGAAAACAAATTATCAATAAAAAATATAAAAATATATTTAAAATATATAATTATTTGAAAATTTTAGAGGGAAATGAAACTTCCCAACCACCCCTCCATTTATCCCTGTCAGTGTCCATGGTACAATTATATATCCATGTACAAGTAAGGATAAAGGGCAAAAGACAGAACAAAAGAAGTCCTCGATTCTTATATGTGATCCATACCAGTCAACCAGAGCTAAAATGGGCAATTCTGGGAAAGCTCGACTCATTCGGTGAAGAAGAAATCTGTAACATTGAAGTCGGTGATTACAAAGAAGCATCTCCAAATGACAATAGGTTTAGTAAGCTAGAAAATGGGTACCTTGTAGCAATATCTGGGTAGCCTTTTGCAGTGAGGAGAATGCTTGGAATCTGGTTAAATACATGATCCTCTGCCAATCGCTGGAAAATTGCATGCTTTAAAGCAAAAATCATGGAAAATGTTCAATTGGATGCAGAGATAATAAATTCATAGTGATTACTACTTTGGGTTTTGATGAAAAAAAGCACCTTTTCAACTACAATAATATAGCGGGCATCCGTCTTCATAATCAAGCTCTCTAACAACTTCAGGTCACCTGAAATTGCATATCCAGAAGAGCCACAAGCAGAACAATCTACAGCCTCTTGGTTTGGCTCCTGCACTTGGTCCATAAACAAGAAATCAGTAAATCACCCATATTTGCACAATGTTAGAGCAAGCGGCATATGCTATTTCATCAATTATTTTCCTCAGCATGATTAGTGATATTTGCCAGGATTAAAATAGTGGTCCGTCATCGTAATAGAGGCCGTTATACAACGGCAATAGTGTCGTCCAAAATCGTTATTACACGACCGGATACTTGCTATGTCCGCATAGGTCGCAACTGCAATTTAAATCCATGATATATGCGATGCAACAAAATAAGCAGGAAAGAAATTGAAGTGCCTGAAGCAAGATACGCCCAGCAACAAGTCCTCTGCTAGATGCCATGATTCCAAGACTGTAACGGCTGCACCGAAGCAATGCTACAACATCTTTGGCAAAAAATTCTCGATCAATTCAAGCATTAAGATGATAATGAAAACTTTTCCTTTGAACGCACACATCGAGTGAAATCATTAATATTATTAATAAACAAGTGAGAACTCAGATAAGTGACCTTGGATTGTCCTATTGACCTGCAACTGAGATGAGAAGTAATCTGGTGAATTACAAAGCAACTTGTAAAAGAGTTCCCTCTGTGTAACTCGTTTCTCTTGAATCAGAATCTCAAAACACATTTCCATAACCTTCCACACTTCATTTTTAGTAGGGATAAGATCAAGAACCAATCTAATTTAGAACAAAATGAAAAATAAAAATTAAATCCGAGAACCGTTATAGAAGACAATACCTCTAATAAAGGCCTTAGCAGCGTTGGCTCTCGTCAATGATCTTGTACAAAAATATTGAGACAGAAAAATCCACGAAACATCAGTCAAGATCCCTTCACTCACTTTGCTATTACTCGACTTCCTCTTGATCTATACGTCATCGGGGGGAAAACGTAACTCAGAAAAAATATTTCCTCGCTTTTTTTTCAGAAACCAAACACCGAAAATTTTAGCTACCAGAGTTATATTGGAGATTGCAGGATCAGGAGAGGCCAAAACCTTGAGGAAATTAAGGACCGCTACTTGGATTCTGGCTTGGACCTGGAACAGAGGTATTTTCATCTTTTTGGATAATTAACAAAAGAGAATAAAAACAATGATGAATTCATGGAGAAGTCTTACCTCATGAGGAAGGAGGATTTCGGCATAACGGATCTGTTGATCTGAGAAGAACTTCATAGAGGATTTGCAGAGATCGTCCATTGTTTTTGTTGAATTCTGATTAATTGGCGCGAAATGAGAGTGAATTTTTTAAAATGCCAATTGAGATCGGGCTAAATGGGCTTCCATGCTATCATTCAATTCAAGGCTTATATTTCTTGGCCCATAAACCCCTGAAGTTTCAATTGTTAAATATTTATTAATAGGAATATTATTTTAGATCGACAAAATAAATATTAGATGACTTTTCAAACATACTCTTAAATCATTATTAATTTCATCTATTTTTAATAAATAGAATTAAAAATAAATTATAAATTGTATGCATGTAAGATTTTAAACTAAAAAAATGAATATATATCCTAACATATATGTTTTATACAAGTAAAATGCATCTATAAATATATATATATATATATATATATATATATATATATATGTTTCTATAATCGAAAATTTTATGAAATTTTTGAAACTTTCATGTTATTTTTCCTTTGAAAAAAATTACAACAGATTAGTTGTAGATTAATCTATAACCAAACCGTTAATAACAATTAATCATGAACGATTAACCGTTTCTTAATAGTTAGGCTAAAGTTAGAAAATTTTAGTAATTGTTACAAGAGCTAATCAACCATTTAGGCTAAACGATATAATTAACCAACCATGAACACACTTGACAAACAACAAACATGTAAGTCCCGGAATCATATTTTGAATCTCTTCCAAAGGTAAAAAAATAGTAAATAAAGATAAGTATAATGTATGTATTTACGAAGTGTTGGTTGTTAACTTTAGCTAGAACTGTTTCAGAATGGCTGCACGAGCTGATAAAGGTTATAAGAAACGGCTTCAAGACTGTCGCAAGTTACACTAAGGCATAATGTCAAAAATAATCTCCAATGTCCATTAAAATGATTATTTTGGTTTCTATTTTTTTTCATAAATCATTTTAACCTTTAACGTTTTACTTGAGACAAGAAATTCCTTCTATAAATAAAAATTATTAGTTAAAATATGATTAATGCTCTAAAATAAGAGTCTTTTTAACCTAAAATAAATTTTGAGAGCTAAAATGTCCTAAAAAAAGAATAAGGGACAAAGATATTATTCTATCAAATTGTAGGGGCTTTTTTGCCTTAAAATGTTGAGAGCCAAAATACTCCCAAAGATAGAATAAAAGATAAAATGATCATTTTTGGTAAATGTTAGGGACTAATTTTGGCATTATGCCTTACAAAAAATGCAAACATTAAAGACCGAGAAAACTGAAGCTGATGAGGCTTATAAATCCAGACTTACTAAAACTAAGAACAGGAGAAGCTGAACTCACTTTAAGGCTTAATATCGGGGAGGAACTGTACAACAATACAAGTGAGATGCACAAAATTGGCCATAAATATTTGTACATACGGCTCCATCATATTACAGCTATGTCAACACTACTTCATCCCACTAGACATATTTGGCAAGGTACCGGAACTACTACTCATGGCTGCAGTTTGAGTCATTGCATTGTTTTGCATTTGTGGGGCAACAGGAGTCCTACTATTCGCGAGAATCGCCTGCAGATGAGGTGGAACACTGGGTGGAGATGTTATATTTGTTTGTGGCCTTGCAGCTTGTGTTGACTGGGTGGGTTGAATCATCATGTGGCTAAGAGCTTCAGAATATACTCTACCCGTGAGGCATCCTCGCATGCGCCCTGTAGGCCGCCAGTTCTGCTCAGATGCCAAATCAGCTGGGGTATCAGGTCTTGAAGTTGCTGGTGCTGATCCACCCATGTTCCATCTCTGGTCGACAGCTGAAGTCCTACTCCCATCAACATTTCCAGGATAAGAAGGTGCTGGTCTTGGTTGTCCAGCCAATTGGATGGCTCTCTAGGAAGCGGCAATAAATCTGGTAGGATTTCTGTTCACGTTGCCTGCTGCATAGCGTATCCCGACTTGTGCAGCTCCTTGTTGAGTCTGTGCTCGTAGTAGAGGTGACGGTGATCGTATCAGGCCTGGAGATGGACTCCTAGGTTGAGACAACCTCGTGTTCAGTGCTTGCTGCAAGTGTGGGTTCTGGAATTCACCGAGACCTCTGTATGGACCTGGGAGTTGACTTGGAGCTGCAACACCATCTTGTTGAACTGACTGACTAGGAACAAATGTACGTTCTTGCTGGTTCCGACTCTACATTGAGAAGATTATACCAAAAAATCAGAACAAAAGCCTGGAAAAAAAGAGCATAAACAAGAGCAAAGACAATAACAATAATAATAATAATAATAAAATGTATGTTATAATGGAAGTGAAGCCATATCTAGCACCTGATGTGGAGTACGTGAGGAACTGTTTGTGCTCATAGTATTAATACTATTTCTGAATCTCTGTTGTGGTGTTGGAGTCTGAGTCTGGGACATTGCTGGGAGGGCCTTAACTGCTATAGGTGTCCGGCTTACATGTCTAGGTATCATGTTATGCAAATTTCCATGTTCATGATTTGGCATTGAATTCATCGATTGTGAAGGCTGCGATGGCAAATTTGCAGCAGCAATTTGATTTTGAACCACAGGGGTAGTAGGATTAGCATTACTGCAAGTATCAGCTCGATTGGGCACCGGAGAAATAGCGTCAGAGTACACTGGTGATACTGTAATATTTGGAGTAGACTCGGATCTGCCACCAACTTGGGTATCTATCCTAGTAGAGGTGCCAGACATAAGACTTGAGTAAAGTGCAGACCAAAAAATTATCCTCCATATTAGAAACGATATTTTGATTCGTTCCAGCTGTATTAATCAATTCTGGTGTTGTGGTTAAATTTGGAGCAGCAGATAAACTTAGAAGATTAGCCACAGGAGGCTTCCTGTCTTCAATTTCAATAGTTTCCATTGCATCCACCTCCGTGTCAGCCTGAGTAAGATCCAGAACGATAGGAACGGCCGTAGCAGATTCTTGCTGCTCAGACCCATCCTTTTGGCAATTAAGAATCTTATCATGCAACTCTTCTACATCATCATCATTTTCCATCACAGCTTTCCATGATCCATCTGCAGAGATAATCACATCGGACACATCCTCTGCCACCTCTTTCACCACCTGAGGACAGAACAAACCTTTAATAAAAGTGCAACAAGAAGAAAACACAAAAGCAAAGACAACAAAATAGCAACTTGCCTTAGCCATATTTTGATTAATGCGAATATTAGTGTAGCATACATGTTGATTGCAATGTGGGCAGCGCCAGGATGGTCTTCTAGAGTTTATGTCAACATAGTTTTTGAAATCAAACCACTGCACCAAATCAAAGAAATTTTATAAAAATCAGGAACAAGAAGAACCAGATTACCATGTGAATTGCAACGCTAGGCAAGTAAGAAACTGTTCCTTTTAGTATAGAATTTTAGTCAGGCTTTTCGAAATTAAAGCAGGATTTAGTGATAAAGGTTTAAGAGGATCAAAATTCGCCATAAGGAATTCAGGATTTAGTGAGCTATTATCTCAGGGAAACTGCTGTAAATTTTCTTCAAGTTCCACAACTTTATTATTAATGCAAAAATACCTCAAGATAGACTCACCTGGAGATGCTTACATGCATGCCCTTTGACAGGAGTTCTGATGTGTGTTCGGCTGTTGGAAGAAAGAGAGTCAATCAACAGAATTTCAACAAGTACACGGAATTATAATGTCGAGATGAATTAGCAAATTCTTAATCCTCAAGAAAAAAATAATTTCATGAACCATTTATAAAAAAAATTACAAAAAATTAAAAATTAGCAACAACTCAGAAAATAGTAATAGAACAGCAGAACCAAAATAGAATAATAAAGAAAAAGGAGAACTAATGAATTGAATGCATACTCTACTGAGTTTCATGAAGAAAATTGTAGTTTGACTAACCTTATGGGACATTTGAGTGATATCCGTGATGGCCCTTCAATTAAATCAGAATCTTCTGTACCAAAAGGAAAGAGACAAAAATTTAACTTGAAACTCAACATAAAAGAATGAAATCATCATTGGGATACAACAGAAAGTATTTTTAGTTTTGTACTGGCATACCTGAACCTGGTGCAACGTCACCAGATAGAACATAATATTGTAGTGTGGAAGCATCAGGTGATGACTCCATACTCATGAAGGCAATCAAAATGACATAGTGACCTTTTTCAATATTTAGTCTATGTCAGCAAGCTCAATAGAAACAAAAATTTAGATATTTGAACTTTAGTCAAAGAAGGCATATACTCATGTCATACCGCAAAACTGGCCCACAGCTTGGAGAAGATTTGTCCCATATTTCAACATGGAAGTCACATTTGTTGGAAGCTGAGGTCCCATATCCTACTATAGGAGACAGAGGAGCAAAGCATTAATGACAAAATATGTGCCTCACACAGTCTTACAAAAAAGTAATCAATAAATAAAATAATGGAGTAGAAAGCATACCATTAAAACATTTGTTTTTCTCTGCACACCCTTCCCATTTAATAGAAAACTGTATATTTTAAAATATATTATCAGAAAAATCAAACATGGCCAGAGAAACATTAAAATGTGGAAAGGGTAACATAAAACTATTCATACTTCACTTGTTGCGGACTTATAATGCAAGCAGATGTCTCTATGTTATATTTTTGAGCTACAAATAACCTCTGTAAGAGAAACAGAACAAAGATACAAAGCAAGATGCGGGAAAATTTCCACAATCAGTGTTTTCAATTTTAATCAAAAGAAAATGAGCTGCAGAGACAGTAGATACTCGAGGAAAATCCATGTGCTCACAATTTTCTCATTAGGAGAATGTGTTACATTCTTTGATATATGAAAATCAACCACAAGAGCCCCGTATCCAGGCTGCAATGCAAAGAAACAAGATTAAAACAGGCTCAATTAGTATAAAAATAGGGTCTAAAATGATTAAAGAAAATACCTGAGCTTCAAGAAAAGCAAGTATCTGCCCCATCTTCATTAATGGATAGAACCTGAAAATGTGGATTTATTTTCAGATCATTCATAAGAAATAGCAGAAAAAAGTACAACACTTAAACATTGTGACGATCAACATATGAACTATAGGAGATAGGC